GAAGAAAGGCATAAAGCAAAGTTCAGTTCAGATAATCTTGGACTCATTTTAAACCTAAGATTCTAAGCTAAAATATCCAGCAAAGAAAATGCAAATCCATTAAAAGAAAGCCATGCTATGATTTTTTTAAAATTACTAGGCCAAAACTATTTTTATACAGAGAAAAGTTAATGGGTCTGCTGATTTCTTTGGTTTGCAGTCTCAGAAAAAATTAAACATAAATTACTTGTCCTTGCTGACAGCTGAAAGCCGTTTTTCTGTTGATTGCAAATTATCAAGGGAAAATGTCAGTCAGAACAAATATTTTTAGAATTTTTCACTTTTATAGTCTTGGACACTTTCTCCTAGGGTTATAAAGTCACCCCAGCAGCAAAGTCTTCTGGGATTTTTTTAAACACAGCATGTTAAAAAAAAGTGGCCTTGCGCAATGGCAACCGTTGCCAGAGCAGTAGCAGCCATAAACTACTTTGCTGGGCTACAGAGCTGCCAAGTTTGGACTAAAAGCTCCTGGTATCTGGATGCAATATCTGACTTTTCAGTTAAGGTATTCTGCTATTTTATTACTTTTAAAAGTAATAAAAAGTAATAAAATAATTTTTAGTGTGGGAGGAACAACTCACTTTGGCACCTGACCCAAAAGCAAATACACTGGCTTAGTAACATCAACTTCCACCCAAGCTGTGAATTTTTTGTAACTCACTCTAAACAGAGCAGTATGGATCTTCCAGCCTAACTCTCTTAATCTGAAGCAACCTAAGCAAGAGCTAGGTGTATTTTACACTTAAGATAAATAATTATATATTTTAGGGAACCTTGCAAAACTATAAGTGATTTTCATGATGACTGACTAGAAAATAAATTCATAATTTTATTTCTAAAATGCACTCTTGAGAAACCCCACAATATTACTCAAAAGAAAAAGGTGCAAACCAGACAAGGGCATTAGGAGGTTTGACTTTCAGCGCAAGTCATCAAATTTCAGGATGAGATAATGAGACAACAGCAAATGCTGCACATTGACATTCCAGGACTGGTTTTTAACTTGAAGAATATCGAAAAGTGCATCCAATAAAGGGTAAGGGACTATATTTATAGTAACAGCATTGGATTTGACTTTTATTCCACCAGTGGGAGCAGCTCCTGAATGGCGTTTCACTCAGAAGGCAGAAGTAGGGGAGGTGATTCCTTCCCACTCTGCAGTCACCAGTAAAGACCCCCATCACTGTTCTGAAGGTTCATCCAACAAAGGTACAGAGGCTTCCACCACTTTATCTGAAGCTGCCTGCAGAAAGAAGGAACCTTCCCATCTATGTGAGACTTATGCTGGGTCTAACCCACAGCTTGCATGTTTCACCATGTTTCGCCATTCTGTTTCAAGGCTGCACTACCTGCTGCTGCTCACTATTTCAGCCACTATTCAAATGAATAGTGTTGATTTTACACAGTTTTTAGTATGTTTGCAGTGTCACATCTGTACAAAGGTTACACAGTGACAAAACTAATATGCCAGTATTTTGGAGTCATCCTAAATTGGTTCAGATCTTAAAAATTAAAAGTAGATGAGACATATTCAGACCGAAGCCCACATGGAAAGCTAGTATATGTTGCAGTAAAAAACCTATTGTCTCAGAGTCAGAAACCAGCATGAGATTGGTAGACCCATCATCAAATCTTCTGATATGTAATGGCTATTAAAAAAAAAACCTTTTAAAAATATTGCTGAGGGTTGTGATGGTAATCAGTGAAGCCTCACAAGGATATGGGTGTTTATCCCTTTCTGCCTATGTTATTTCCCCATTATAAATTACCCCACCGTTCCTCAAACCTACTATCAGCCCCATGAGTTGCAGGTGATAACTACCTCTTGGAAGGTTTTGCATCATGGAAATGGGAACATTTGTGATGAGGGGAAAAGACCGGAGATCACTACTCCATTGCTCCACTGATATAACTTGCTACTCTGATTAACATCAGAATTCAACAAACACTTCAGAGTGAAAAAAATCTTAGGAGATCTAGTCACCCATCTCTTATGTCTCTAGCAATTTGTCACTGACCTCTTCTCATCACTAATACACAGTCTGCCCTAAATGATACAGTATTCCATATCCTTCTGTTGTTCAAATTACTGGCAGTGAAAGTTATCTTGAGCAGTGGGAGAAAGAGGAACCAGGATTAATGGATGCATCCTATGCTAGAACTGACATATGTGGCAGATCTGAGAAGCAGAATCCAGAATGCACAATCTCATTTTTGAGTCTGGTTTGACACTGGTCCCACAAACAAGAGAATATTTCATATATAAAGATTTTTTTTCTCAAACTGCTTTCATTTGCTGCTCAATACTAGTTTCTAGTATTGCTGTGCAGTAATAATTATTATTGATTTGTGTTTGTGAGATGCCCTAACAGTATATGGATCTTTAAAATAAAGCATGTTCAAATAGAACATAGATCAGATTTTAGATATAAAACAGAAACAACAGTGCCCCAAGTATCAAAAGTTGGGAACACTGCACTAAGGCGCAGTCAACAGATGAGCCACACCCACCAAGGGACCTCTGGATCACACCTACATTCGGAAGGCAAGCTTATATGCATGCATGTGCAACATGGACATTAATTTAACTTACAGCCTGATTTGATACACATTTATGCGAAAGTAAGTTCTACCAATATCAATGGAACACAGAGTTCAGATCCGTGTTTAGAAGGAAATCTTATGGCATTCAACAGTTTTTTCACGCAGATACATAGTACACACCCAGCATTGCAGCCATGGACTTGGCAGGATCTGCCTGTTATGGGCCAAAGGGCTTTGCTCATAGAAGGTACCTGCCTGTGGATCAGGGAATCCCCCAGCAAGGCTTATATTGCTCTGTAGGACCTAATATGCTAATGTAGTATTTTCAGGGGGCTGGAGGGGATGCCTTGCAAAGGAGGAGATTGGGAAGTTCACTACCACCTGGCCAGGTGCATGCACCTAAACTGAATGCACATCACGCTCACTAAGTATGCCAGGACTGACACCAGCACTGTGCACCCTTGGGAAGCAGTCAGGACTCTGTCAGCCTGACAAGACTCACTGTTGCATATCAAGTGTTTGGGACCAGCCACATCTTAATTTCCAACAATGTCCCTGACCTAGCATTACTCTGAAGCACTGTGGGAAGTCTAAAGCTTGACTGCCCAGTGCTGCTCAGAGTTCTACAACTGCAGACTGGTAGACCTGCAGATTACATGTTGGTCTAGGCCCTGGACCTGAAGCATACATGGAACTGTAGCCTTCACCTTAAATAATTATCCCTTAACATCTTTCAGGCTGCAAATCCATACACCATTCCTTGCAATTATACTATCCCACTAAAATGTCTGTCCAAGGAAACACACACAAGATCGTCCACAAAATCAGCATTGATATATTGGGAGAAAAATGTTAAAATATTAGTTTACCTTTATTAAATCTACTCAGAAGTCACAAAATAATAGGCATGTTTATGTTATTCTGAACTCCCTCAATCAAGATGGTAAATGAGGGAAAAAGTCAGAGGATGTAAGGAGTGGCTGATATTAAAGCTATGTTTGATTACAGTTTTAAAGTTTTAAGTAGGAAGAGTTGCAGACATTCAACCCAGACTCTGGGTTGCCTTTCCCAGGTACGTGCCCTCCCAATGTTATAGACTTCAGCTGCTTTCAGGTCCACTCAGTAGGGCTAATGGTTAAGAGTGCTGAAAAGTAATCCAAAACATCTGGAGAACACCAAATTGAGGAAGGCTTATCTGTCAGGTATAAGGATGGTTTTAATTTACATCTGGGTCCTTTCCAAGGGTTACTAGGAAAAAAACTAATAAATAAGTGATAGTTTCATTATAAGCAGTTGAATTTTGTTTCCAAACTTTGGGGGAACCTACTATTGTTGGTTTACAAACAAATAAAGACTTCATGGCTTTAATATCAGCCACTGCTTTCCCCTTTTATCTTTGTTTATATTCTGACCTGCTGTAAAGTTCTGAAGCATGCACTGTATTATTCCCCCAGAAGGTAACTGTGCCAGCCTATTGCAGCAAAACCAAGGATGGAGTATAATAAGAGAGCATCAGGGATGGGCAGGGTATGGCGAGTGAGAGTAAGAATTAAAAAGAATGAGGCGAAAAGGAAATTCAATGCAGAAAATACTGGTGATGACAATCACATTATTAACAGTTGTCCTTTAAAGTGCAAACTGAGATAATGGATATTTAGGGTAGGCCACTCTGTGAACTGAATGCTGAACTAGATAGATAGATGGCTGGCATGATCCAGCATGGTGTTTCATGGGATCTTACATACATATCAGCAGTAGTTGCACTGTGTATGACTACCAATGGTAACACAACTGGCACTATCTGTACTTTTTGCATTGATTTTCCTTCTCATCTTGCTGTTTACAGTTCCTTTCACTCTCACACACCTCACCATAAGGGCTGCAATTGAACCTGAAGCTCTCCATAATACACTATGTATCTGATGAAGTGGGTTATAATCCACAAAAGCTCACACCAGAATAAATACTAGTTTTTGGGGCACCACAAGGGTTTTTGTGGGTTCTGCAAAGTATTTTGTGGCATTTTGAGTTAGTCTAATAAAGCTATTAGACCAACACGAGTTTTAAAGTTTTCTCTTCAGGCCAGTCCGCTCATGCAGTTGTTTCAGCGCCCTCCAGCTGTTTCATACTGCAACTCCCAGCATTCCTGACCGCTGGTTGAAGCTGAAGAGCATTATCGTCGAAACATCTGGAGGGCATCAGGCTGGCGAAGGCTGACGGTGCAGGTAAAGAGGGGACAACTCAAGACTGTCCTTGACCATGCATTCCTGCGCGGTGGAGCTCTCTGACATCCACGAGAGCGATGTGCTGAGTGCAAGCCTGGAGGCAGCCCTTGCGGCGTCTCAGGCGCAAAGGTGGTGTCAAGAGCACACGACTGACTTTGCTGTGGACAACCGGCTCGTCTCGCTTCGTCTCACCTGCCCACGTTTCGTGCTGCGGCATCCGATAATACATGTTCCCGAAGGGGTCGGTGCCCACATACTGTTTCTCTGGCCCTGAAAAGAACAGCTTCACCGAGCGCAGCAGCCTCCAGAAGCGGCTCATGCCGAGCCCAGAGTACGCGGACGAAGCTCGCCCGCCAGCCCGCAACTAAAACCGCGCTGACTCGCTGACAGCACAAAAACACGTGACATAGTCGAAGCGAAAGAGGCTCCGCCCCCTTCCTCTTCGGCCGATTAGTTGCTGGGAGTCTACGCTCCCCCCCTTGGCTGATGAATTCTTCTCTGCTCTATAGAGACGAGAAAAGTCAAGAGAAGCACATTCTGCAGTTCCGTTTCTTACTCCGTAGGAAAGAGTAATTTTGAATTATTGCTGATTTTATGGAGAACCTCTACGTAGTCTGCTGCGAAAATAGTCCGAGAGATCGTGAAATTTCAGACCGAAAAACAAAGAAGAGCCGGCACATTTTTTTCAATTCTTTTTCTCCACAACAGCCTTCATGTTTCAGCGCATGCGTATTCCACTTTTCGCACTTTATTTTCTTTAGTCTCTTTCTATGCAGTGATGGGAGGCGACGTCTGAATAACGCGTCATCGGGTTGGTTGAGAGAGCCGCGCTCGGAGCCAATGGGGGCTAGTTGGTCCTTCAAGATGGCGGCGCCGTGGCCAAGGTTTATTCCTAGTCATCATGCTGAGTTTTATTTCCGCCCGTCAATCAGGATTGGACGAACCGCTGAGGCTTCGCCGGGCTGAGTCTACCAGGAGGTAAGGTGCATTTCCAGCTAAGCCAGGCTTCGTCTCCAGACACTGCGCCTGTCTCGTTTGGAGACCCTTTCTGACTGGCGCACTCTTGGCACTGAGTTTCCTTTTGGAGAAACGCTCTCGGCCGCTTCTCAAGTAGGGACGGTGTGGTGCTGAACTTCTCTCTGGATTAATGTTTTGTCTAGCACGACCCGCAGGCTGCCTTCTCTTTTTCCAGAGTTTGTGTATACTGTCAAGTGGATGGGGGGTGTGGAAGCGCCTGGACTGGCTCTCCTTGCCCAATTTGTGAACACATTGTGAAGAAGTGACTGCCATCAGTTTAAGCGTGCAAAGATCATGCACTGGAGCATTGGGTGTAACCTGTGGAACAACCTATGTACAAGTTGTGTGTGTGTAGGTTCAGTATCTATAATCAGGGACTCTGCCGTTCAAGAATTCCTGTTTGCAAATAGCAGATTGCACACAACTAAGCTCTTTTCATTGCTGTTTATTCCAAGGCGAGTGTTACCCCCTAGCCAAATGTTACTTATTTTCTGTGTACGTCCAATGTAAGGTATGTTCCTTTCTGGAGTAGGATCTGACTTCATAACCAGGGTCCCTGTTTGTGTCAAGTAAACCACATGTGTGTGTTTTCTATGCATTCATGCATAACTATGCATTGGAGGATGCAATCATTAAGTATGCAAAGATTCTGAATGCTTGAAAAGGTTAAGGTAGATTACACTGAGAAATAATAAAGTATTGTTCTGAAAATAAATTAAAATGATGGCAAGAATTTTGCCCTATGGTTTGTGGTAAAATGCAACAATATTAATGTGCAGTCAGCAAAACTGAAGTGTAACATTTTAGGGAGCTCTTAATATTTTGTAAGCGAATCTGAATAGGAGCAACCAGGAAATCAACTGATGCAGAGGCAGTATGATGCACATAATATAGTACTCCAAAACAAGGCAACAAAATGAAAATCAATACTGCATATAGTTTATAAATATTACAGATTTGCCCTGTTTATTTTTTTAAAGATTTCATAGTTTAAGCACTGTAACAATTAAAACATATTTATAAAATTTTGCCATATTTTAAATGCAAGCTTTAGTGTAAAAAATGAGTATATTGCAGCTGGGAGTATGTTACTTTTTTTTTTTTTTGCCCTACTTTTTTTATTAAATTTTAAAACAGTGCTAAAAACATCAGTCATCACAAAGATCGTAACTACTGAGTCAGCCCCTTACTACATATCTTTTAACATTCTATAATCATATTCAGATCCATTTATGGAATGTAAAAAACATTTTTAGATCTAAACCAAGTCCCGTTTCTCCAGCCAATTAAAAAAAAAAGGTTCCAAATTTGATAGAAGTCACTGTCTTCTTTCTCCTTCTGTGGTAAGATCAGTCCATCCATTTCTTACAGAGTCCCGTTTTCCTTGATCTATATTAAAAGAAAGACTCTCCAAATTTGATAAAAGTCAGTATCTTCTTTCTTCTTCGATAGTAGCTTCAATCAAACCAACTCTACACAATTCCAGATCTTTTCATTTTTCTAATATTAAACAGATAAACTTTTCATTATAATAGTTACAAATATGATCAAATACATTTTTTGCTTACTAGTATTCCAGTCTAATACATCCGTATATGCCTGACCGCCCTTTGAGATCTGCGGGAGAGTCCCTTCTCCGGGAACCCTCCATGAAAGAAATTAGGAGAGTAAGTACCCAGAGGAGGGCTTTCTCTGCGATGGCGCCCAACCTATGGAATTCACTCCCCAAAGAGGTCCGCCTGGCACCGTCGTTACTGGTTTTTCGGCGCCAGGTAAAGACCTTTTTATTTAAACATCATTTCAATTGTTAAAACATATGATCTGGCCGGGGCAACTTCTTCTTCCTTCTCTTTCTCCTCCTATATTTTTATTTTATACTGATAATTTTAATTTTGTATTTGTAAATCAATGTATTTTTTTGTATTTTTATATTTAATGGTAATTTATTATGTTCTATTGTATTTCAATGTATTTTATCATGTTGTAAGCCGCCCCGAGGTTTCGGCAAGGGGCGGCATAGAAATGTTATAATAATAATAATAATAATAATAATAATAATAATAATAATAAAAAATAATAATAATAATATCCACTAAAAAGGAAAGTGAAAGAGAAGAAAAGTTCCAAGCTTAAAAAAGAACTAAAGACTTTTAACCCAATTTATGTTCACATGTCTAACATCCATTTAGCATCTTTAAGGACAACTTATCTAATCTATTTAACGACAATTATCTATGATATCTTTTAAACAAATTTTCTTTAAGCTAATTTATAAAAGTTTCATCTAGCTTACACTTCACTTAATCACATACAATTAACTCCTTATAAGAGTCCAGCTCCTTACAATCTTTAATATATCTCGCTTGTAAAAAGAAATCTATTTAGTACTGCTCCTCCTACTCCCATAATAGTCATTTTCCAGTATAGCAATTCAAAGACAAAAGAGTCATGCAACTTAGCTTTTGGTCATTCATTTTTAAGAAAAAAAAAAAGAATCTCTCATTTTCCCTTATATCACCCACAAAGGAGAGAAAAAAAAGGCAGGGGACTCCTATTCTTCTCCTTCTTAGTTCAGTTTAAATCTTATCTTATAATCTCTTCATAATTCAACACCTTTAAATGTAGAAAAGCTTCCACAGTTAAAATCATATACCTTAGCCTTTCCATACCACAATAAACATGCCAACCCATTTATAACATTCCTTTTTAAGATTTCTTTTTTACACCTCTTCCAAACTGCTTTTGTTTTAATAGGGTTTGTTGAAAATCAATATTTTTAAACTTTACATCTCCAGCCCATCTTTCTCCCCTTGGTGTTATTTGTTGAAAATCAACCCACTTCAAAGTCTGTATTTCAATCTTCACTATCTCTTGCTTTATCTTCAGTGATTGTAGCATTTGTTGTAAGTCAGTATTTATTCCCAATGGCTGTGTTTTTTGCTGCAAATCAACCTTCACTGTTTCTTCTTCCTCAGAATCAATTTTAGTTAATTCAGGATCCATCCATCCTTCAAAAAAAATATTCCTTCCTTTAGTGGCCAAATTTGTTTCTTTTTATCCACAGTTTCAAATTTTTCATATACTTGTTGCATTTCTTGTATATTCTGTTCAGTTTTGGATTCTACATCAATCCCCATCTTCCTAAAAGTGGCATCAAGTTTATCAAAGCGCTTTTTTTGTACAATTGAGAAGATTTCCTGTTGTCTCAACATCACCTCTTGGGATATTTGTAAAGTTGTTAAAGATTCTTGTATTTCCAAAAAAAAATCTCTTCAGCTCTTCCATTGTTGCAATAATTCCAATAGCCACAAAGTGGCAGCTAAGATCAGTTCCACTTTTCTTTTCTCTAGATCACTAGCGGTCAGAAGGTTGGCAAGTTGCCAAATACTTTGGCAGAGGTCCCAAAAACACAAGAGAGGAAATGGAGATTTTTATATCCTTTTTCTTTTCTCCCTTTTCTCTCTCTCTTTTTTATGCCAATTAACAACAGATACAGTTTTTCCATAAGTAGTATCGCAAAAAGAAAATAGGAATGCTCACCCAAACAGTCGTCACATTAAAGAAGAAAGCATCCAACAATGTGAAAAATATCCTGGCGAGTGTCCAGTTGATCTTGGCAGAAGTCCAAACAGATATCCAAAACAATCAGTCAAAGCTTTGAACTTCTATCACGTAATTGCACCTTAAAAATTTAAACTAATTCTATACCCTTAGAGAGGTTAAAGGAAAAAGTCTTTTTCTTTAGCTTCAACCTGGACAAAAGCCTCAGCACTCTCTTATCTCAGTCGTCGCCTAAACATCTGGAGGGTTTTTCTTTTCTTAATGCCAAATTATAAACAAATGCAGCTTTTCCACGGGTAATATTGCGAAAGAAGTAAAAAATATTTACTCAGCAGTTCCAATGCTTATCTGGCTAATAAAAATCCTAAGCTCGACATTCTAAAATGTCGAGAATTTGAAGGGGCTGAAACCACCCCCTGTGTTACTCGATTGAGAAGTACCTGAATTGCTCTCAGCAGATATGAGATTGCCATCTCACATCAAGCCAAAAGCGTGCCCAGGTAATCTGTCTTCACCGCGACAGGGCTTAGATGAGTCTCCCACGACTTGCTGCCAAGTAATACCGGTGTGATGACAGAACTCCATTAATCACATACATCTCGTTCCGATGCCATCTTGGAATTGGGAGTTTTTAATTGTTACTTAAAAACTGAGCTAGGACCAATGTGGTAGGGTGTGTACATATGGGTGAAATGCAGTATATGATTCAGAATTAAGTCATATTTCTCAATGGAACTTGCTTGCTAGCAAGTGGGACTAGGATTGCATAAGTCTATGAAAGAGAACTCCCTGAGAGCTGATTGTTATGAAAAAATGTGCATAATATTCAATGATAAAGTTAAAAGTTGATAATCCACAGCATGTTAAGCTGATAGTGCTAAAGTACATTTGAATGATGATTGTGCCCCTTCTCTGGCAATTTTTAACAGTTAGAAGTTGTATAATATCTTGTTATTTCTTGTCTATAATAGCTTTACTTTTTCAAGGGTATTGAGCTTGGAGTTAAACAAAGATAAAGATATAGAACAGATCCATGGAAGTGGCATCAACACCCTGGATATTGAACCTGTGGAAAATCGATAGTAAGTATGCTATATGACTTATTATGGAATCATTTTATAAAGCATTTAAAAACACATTTTTAGGTTTGCAAATAATTGAAGTGATGAAAAAGGTCTGTTGCTATTTTTTCCACAAAAATATTCCACAATTATAACTAACATTTTTTAGGTGTCTATTCTTAGGAAGTATGTGTGTAATCTGTATTTGTGTAATCTGAATGCATAGCTCTTTGCACCTGCTAAAATATAAATATTAACATTTGTTTTTCAGTGCCTTTTTATATTTTCCTCCTTAAAATTTTTGGTGCAATCCTATACATGTCCACTTAGAATTAAACTCTTTAATTGGCATGAGTCCATTCCACCAATTATGCTGTTCATCAAGTGTGGTGGGAATGAGGTAGGCAGGTGGAATATCCAAGAGAGCAAGGAAGAGACTGTTTGGAAAAATCCAAAATGCTAGAGAAATGGAGTTATTCCAAGAGCTTCTATGAAAGTACCACTAACGTCAACCAGTCAGGGACTGAGTCATCTATGACACCTATGAGAGAGAGCCAATGAATTTAGGTTGACAGGGATATGTCCCTAAACATGCCCCTGCATCATAACTCAAAAAATGATGCAGCAGCACTTCCATTCCAGAAATGCCAGGCAGCAGTGACCCTGCTGTTCCCATTCCCCAGGCATCTCTGTAAACTGGAGCTCAAGCTACCTGATGGTGCTTAACATCACTGCGCTGAAGCGTGACACCACAATGGGAGGAAAGACAACTCACAATACAGAGTACCTTCATAGTCCCTCAGTAGGAAGCCTACAGAGAGAACACACAGATCTCACAGGACAAGGTTTCAAGATTCCAGTGTTTGACAAGCCAGCTGCAGTTGCTTGCTGATGCACTGTCTTGCTATTACCAGAGAGAATGGGCATTTGAGTCCCTGTCATCTTTTGCTTTCATGTTTGTTTGTTTGTTTATTACAAACATTTATATTCCATCCTTCCAACAAGCACTCAGGACGGCTTACACACGTTATCAGAAGTGGTATGGTCATGATTCAATGTAAGTGTGCTCCCCTCCTTTGCAGCTCCATCCTGATCCTGAATCCCCTGTTTTAGCTATTCTGGAGGCAAAACATAGCCAGGGGAGCAGTTGCATTGATGGAGTGTTCTAGCAGAGTATCTGTCTGTATATCTTGCAGATAAAGTATCTGTAGCCTCTCAGCCTGTGTAACTGAAGTATGGTGTTTCTCTTTCGAAGGGAATGCTATTGCATTGTCAGTATTAAAATGTTTACAGATGTTGAGCAAGGCTTTGTTTGAATATTATTTAATATCTGTTTTAATCAAAATGTGCCTAAATATTTTTACTATTGAACAAATCAGATATTTTAATACCAGATAAAACAAACATTGCATTTTGTTAGTTTTCTTAATTTGGATCATACTTGATTTAGCTCATCTGAAATATTTTCTTGAAAATATTCCAATTCAAAGTACTTCTCTGATTTTGAACTGACCTTTTAATGATTCTAAAATTATACATAAAAAGCAGAATCTGATATATCTGAATTTATTTCTATTTTTTTCCACAGCATGTTATCAGGAGGTTCAGATGGTGTTGTTGTATTATATGATCTTGAAAACTTAAGCAGAAAACCATGCTACACCTGTAAAGCAGTTTGTTCTGTGGGAAGGTATGTATTCTTTACAAACGAAATTCTTATAAATACATCTACTACTTGATACTTCAAAGTTCACTGCTAATTAGTTGTCAGCATACTAACTGAAGTTAATGTTATCAATAATAAGTTGTATTTATAAAAGGGCAAATGCTATTTTGGGATGCATTAATAGTAGTATTACTTCCAAATCATGAGAAGTAGTAGTTCCCCTGTACATCTTACTAGTCAGACCTCATCTGGAATACTGTGTCCAGTTCTGGGCACCAAGATTTAAGAAAGATGCAGAAAAATTAGAAAGGGTCCAGAGGAAGGCAACAAAAATGCTCCAGGGTTTGGAAACACTGCCCTATGAGGAGACACTGAGAAAACTGGGCATATTTAGTCTTGAGAAAAAAGACTAAGGGTGGGGGACATGATGTCCCTCTGTAAGTACCTCAAAGGCTATCACAAAGAGGAAGGTAAAGTTCTCTTTTTGCTGATGCTAGAGTGTAGAACATGGAATTATCTATCTATCTATCTAGGAAATTTATAGGCCGTCCATTATTGTCATCTCTGGACGGCTTACAATATATTATAAATCCTAAACAAAATTGGCTACAGCACGACTGAGTATAAAATGACATGGTTAAAACAAATTAATTAGCTTTAAAATATTGGTCAAATAAAAAGGTCTTGACCTGGTGCCAAAAAGCATATAATGACAGCGCAAGGTGGACCTCTCAATTCAAGTTTCGACAACCCAGATTTTAGGCTGGACATCAGGAGAAGCTTCCTCACTGTCAGAGCAATGCAACAGTGGAACCAGCCGCCTAGAGAGGTAATGGGCTCTCCCACACAGGAGACATTCAGAAAGAAACTGAACAGCCATCTGAGTGGGATGGTGTAAAGTGATGTCCCGCAACAGCAGGGAGTTGGACCTGATGGCCTTCATGGCCCCTTGCAACTCTACTATTCTATGATTCTACAGTTGTAGTTCTGAAATAGGAAGAAGTTGGTAACATAGTGGCTGCTTTTACAGCAAGCCAGACACTGGCCTATCTTACTCAGTATTGCTACACTGACTGGGACCAACTCCTGAAAGTTTCAACAGCATGTTTTCCATGTATTTATACTTTCCAGTTGTACCTGCATGAACCAAATATTGAAATTGTGACCTTCTGCATACAGAGTATCACTGAGCTATTGTTCTTTCCTGATGAAATGTATTATCAGAAATGGTTGCTACTAAAAAAGAAACAAACAGCTTATATTATATGCTTACCTCTGGTCATTGGATGAATTTTGTATTTTGTGTGACTCTTCAATACATTGAATGCACAAGTGGGTCCCCAAAAATAGGTGCTTTCATGGCAAACTATGATAGTTTGCAGTTGAGTTACTGGTCCTGGCACTCAACGTCATGGGGTGGATTTAGTTATAGGACTAATCAGGTTTTTTGGATAGAGGCATATGTACATTGGTCTATCTTTCTATATATGTCTGGGAAAAATCTTGATTGGCCCTATCAAAATGCTATTTGAAAAGGCAGTCTGACACAACATTAAGCCACAGTGGGTAGATTGTTCTTCAAAGAATCCTACAGCCAAGATGCTGTCTAGAACCAGGGGATTGTTCTGCCAGATATCCTGGATACCATCAAGGAATCTATATATTGATTAAATAAATGGAGTTAAAATTATTTTTGTATAAAAGCAATGCAATGGTTAAATGAAAAGTAAAATATGAAACAACTTATAGCTTTGAAGGAACTCTCATATACAGGGCTTGCATTTCTAGTAGCCTTTTCTTAAAAACAAAACAAAACAAAAACAAAATATGCCACCCTGGCTGGCTGGCTGGCTGGCTGGCTGGCTGGCTGGCTGGCTGGCTGGCTGTCTCTCTCTCTCTCTCTCTCTCTCTCTCTCTCTCTCTCTCTCTCTCTCTCTCTCTCTCGCGTGTGCGCACGCACACACACACAGAAAGCTTACTGTATTGTAGTGATTTAGTTGTATGGTCTGAAGAATGTAAGGATCTGCATGACCTGTGAAATACTGCAGCTCCCTCAGGTGGCCTGATTCAGAAGACAGCCTGCTCTTATCCTGTGAGTGCTTGCAGGCTCAAGCACTCACTTGACATCTGAGCGGTTATCCGAGGCCAGATGGTGGCCATCAAAAACTGTTTCCCTTCCTGCTCAGCTTTGCTACAACAGCATGTATCTTCATGGTGTCTGCTTCATACTGCAGACTTGGCTCTTGCCCCCAGTCTCTCTTCATCTTTGCCAATATCTGACTCTGCTTTTGCCTCTGGGTGTGCCATATTTAATCAGTGTCTGACCCTTGCCTGAGTAAGCCTAGTTCCAGTTGAGAATGCCTGCCTGGAGCTCACCAGGAGTAAGGAAGAAGGACTTACAATTTTGCATCCCAAGCAGAGATGACAGGTTCATCTGAGCTCAGATCAAGAGTAACAGAAATTAATTTGGTATCCAGTCTGGAAAATCCAGAATTAATTGATCAAGATGGAAATCAATGGAAATGCTTAAAAACAGAATTGTGAAGTCTGAGAATTACAAGGGAATTAATGAAAAGGCTTCATTTTCATAGATTTTCATTATTTTAAATTGTGGCTAATCCATGAAACTGACATGAAAATTAGCTCAGTGTAACATTCACAAGGAACCTTTCTGATAATGATGGCAGAAAATCTCTTAAAATAACTAACCAAGATCATACAGAACTATGCAAAGAAACTGTACAAAGTTCTGCGTGGAAAACCTAATGCACTACAAAATCATGCAAGCAAAAATAATTAAATTCAAAAGCAAAGTTCCCTCCTCTGTGTTCCAGAGAAGACAGAGAAGTTTCAAGATCAAAGAGAAATCGGGAGGAAAGGCCCCTCATGTATGTGAAAAGGAGAGCCAAAGTTGAAATGGGGTGTAGTGAAAAAGAAGTGAGAAAGCACCACAAAAACAACAACTCCCCCCCCCAAAACCCCTCTTCCTGCTTCTAGTTAACCACAACTTCTAATTAATCTATTGATTGGTAGATGTATAAGGCAATTATGGCAAAATGGAAGCCTTGCCTGTTTTGGCTGTTATACCACTTAATGGCCTCTCCTGAACAGGGATAGCTGATAGGGGCAGGGCATAGTGATACAGACACTAGTAACCTCAGTACTGGATTACTGCAGTACACTTCATAGGGCTATCCTTAGGGTGAGTCCAGAAACTGCAGCTAGTGCAGAACACAGCAACTCTGCTTCTTTGGGGGACTGCTCCTTTACTGAGGAAAGTCCACTGGCCATCAGTTCACTTCTAGGCAGAGTTTAAGGTTTTGTTACTGGTGCATACAGCCTGAGAAACTTGGTATCAAAATATTTGAGAGTTCCTGCTTCCTTATTAACCTGCCCAGTCACAGGTCATGAGATGATGCTTTCCTAGTGATTCCACATGGACCTGATGTCTGTATTGAGTGAGGACAGGGAGCCTCTAGCCCACAGTCCTAATCTGGCCCGTGGTGGTTCCCCATCCATCCTGCAGAGACTTACCTCTTTGCTTGGAGTTACTGGGGATAAGGAGAGAAAGTGAGGAGAGGAATACACTCACCTCTGCTCTGTGATTGAACATACCAAGGGAATTCCGCTTACTTAGCACATCACTCTAATTGGAAGGGAGCATGGTGTGCTGAGCCAGTGGGTGCAGGAGCTTGGGCAGGTTTGCTTTGCTCATCCTTTGCCTTCCCTGTATGGATGAACTCCAGCAGGTGGTGGTGTGGTATCATCAGCATGGGCCCCACAGATGTCATTCAGTCCATGGGGGAGGGGAGTCCGGAGGGCAATCTCCTCCTCCCCAACAAAGCAGTAGTCCAACCAGAGTAGAGTACTCACTCTTTCTCTGAGGATTTCCTTTCAGCTGATGTCAGGCATTTGCCAGTGTTGCATTGTTTTTGGCATCTGTTGAAGACATGTTGAGTTAGTCACATTTTTATTGGATGATAGCTGGAAGTTTATTGGTATAAACTCATTTTAAATATTTTCATCATTTCAAATTTTGTTTTTTCTTCCTTCACTGTTTACTATTTGGGAATATTTTTTAAAGATAGAGTGTTCACACATATTGTAAATAAACTTTTAACTTCTGTTCTTGCATTGTAGAAGCCACCCTGATGTTCATAAATTCAGTGTGGAGACAGTTCAATGGTATCCCCATGATACTGGCATGTTTACATCAAGTTCATTTGATAAAACACTGAAAATATGGGATACAAACACATTACAAGTAAGTAACATCGACTGCATCTACACGAGAGGTACACATGATTTCTGAGCATGAAATGTTTCAAGGGTGGTATTCCACTAGTACTGCTGTTAAAATTTGACTAACTTTGGTAAGACTGCATTGCTTAGAAAGTAGTCATAGGATGATTAAGCTAAAGAAGCAGCAGGCTGCAGGAACTGATATAGAAGCAGGGCATGACAAGGAGGGGCTTATACTGTGTGATGTGAAGTGAACCAGTGAAAGGGCGAGTTTTACAGTATATTTTATAAATAAACTTAATTTATTTCATTATTCATAAACTGTAAATCCAGGCACCAATTCAAAATTTGAAACAAGGCTAGCTATCATCAACATATTAATGATATTGCTTAATCTTCCTGTGCCTGCTACAGCACTTCTATAGCCCTTAGAAGAGCAAGATGCTGTAGCTATAGAGATGGTCTCTGCTGCTGCTGACCTTATTATATTCATTTATTAAATGTATATGCCACCTTTTTTTCTTACAAAGAACTCCTTACAAAGAACTTAAGCAAGGAGAATGTGCATCATTCTCCTGCTGCTCTCAGTCTTATCCCCACAACAACAACCCTGTGAGGTAGGTTGGGCTGAGAGTCTGTGTCTGGCCCAGAGTCACCCAGTTGGCACCACAGTCAAGTGGGGACTAGAACCCAGATTTCCTGAGTCCCCATCCTGCACCTTTGGCCACTATACCACACTGGCTGTCATAGCTGCTTGATTTATACATGAAGGCAAACAAGGCCTCCAAATTTTATGTTCAGTTTTTCAAAAGGAAGGCCTATAGAGTGACATAACTTGATCGATGATGGTGATGATGATGAAGATGATGATGCTGATAGTAACAACTTGATCAAGTAGTTATTGGTAGTCTGGCATCATTAGACTGGGGAAAGAGAGACGGATATCAGAAACACAGTCTCCTATTTCTGTAATACATGCTCCTAAAAGATCAATATCCATTTTACTGTGATCTTGATGGTATGTTTCTCTTGTCCTGTATCTGCACCACCATCTTCCTGCTAATAACTTTTGCCTTAATGGAACAGATAAGTTACATGTGTCACCTTGTACCTTTTTAAAGGAAAAGAGCAGGTTAAATCCAATTGCAGGCATAGTTTTAGTTTAACCTATTAGTATAAAGATAGTAATAATTTTCTATTCATAGTCTTCCTGTGGCTTTGTGTGATGAATGTGTTAACATAACTTATTGTCATAAATTTTTTTCTCTGTTGCACTTTGATTGTGTTTTCCTTATGCTGTCTTTGTTAAAAAGCTTGCTGCTGTAAAATTGTCAGTTTTGGATCTCATATTTCCAATGCAAATATGTTTTTTATGCTACTTTGATGGCAGGAATGGGGGCATTTAAGTTCCATCAGCATTTATCAACTGTATACAAGAGCTTTACATTTTTGTCATGATTTGGACTGGGGCAGGTGCTTAATCAATGCATTGTCTTTCAAATGACAGCCAGCGGATGTGTTTAATTTTGAGGGAACTGTGTACAGCCATCACATGTCTCCTGTTGCTACCAAGCATTGCTTAATTGCAGGTTTGTATTCATTTTATGTTCCTCTTTGGGAGATAAAGATTATTCACTGCATCTTCAAGTTGTCTCTTCCCTCTCGTCCCCCATATCTCTTGGTAGCTTTCTAGGGAACACTTTTATATTCAACATAAAGATGTACATTCCCGGAAAACTCATTTCATATGAGTTCAATGGACTTTCAACACAACTCTGATCCCATGGCCAAAAGCAAGCCAAGCCAAGCCAAAAATCCTTTTTCCAGCTTGTGTAAAATTGCTTACAATATTTCCTCAAATTTGGAGCCAAGTATTGCATATCTCTACTGGAGTTTGCACAAATCATAAACTGAGATCACCTCCTTGGGCACTTTCTTTGTGCTGTTCTTGTAGCACTGAAAATGAGTGATATGGAAAACTTGTCTCATTGTGTATGCACACACTTCACCTCGAATTTTCTGGCAGTTACTTTCAGATTTTTTCAAAACTCATTTGAAAAGGCCTTTGCTTTGCAATGTGTACGAATTATACTATTTGCAGAAATTTCTGGAGTAGAGGTGTCAGATAAAGTCAGCAGAGTTGACTGAATAGAATCTGTGGGGCAAAGTGCAGAAATCTGTTGAATTTTTACCCCATGTAGGATTCTTCAAACATCCCTAAGCAATTTATATTAGGCATAATTAACATGATTTGAATATATTTGTATTTAGATTCCTTTTAGCTTATTTGTTTTACTCATTGGTCAGTGCAACAGTTGTATTTAAAGTAGGTATATTAGGAGACTGCAGTTGAACATGTCTTCAAGGTATGATGCTATTGGAACTTTTTTAAATTTGGTAGTAGCTTCACTGAATACAGTAGGACTGAATTCTGAATGAACATGTGCATGATTGCATTGTTAAAATATTTCTTTGGCTACCGTGAATCGCAGGCATTCCTCATTGTTTTACAAATGAACGTGGCTTTGTAGCAAGCAGTGGGTAGGCATCAAGTAGCCTTCAAATTGGAGCACAGGGAGTATGCTGAGCCTCCCTTGGTTCCCTCTTCTACTACCCCAAGATTTGTCTGCTTCCCAAGTGCAATCTTAAAGGGCTTGTTAAATTTAAGCCATATAATTCAGAAAATACAATAATCCATAATAATAAATAAAAACTTCAGTGGTGTTGATGGTCTTAATTAAAATATGTATTTCATAAGAAACAGAAAATCAACAGAGCATCATTTACATTTTCAATTTTGGTTTTTATATTCAACAATCAATACTTCCAATTCAGTACTGCTAGAAAATCAAGAAAAATTTCTAGATCGGGGGTAGCTCAGATGAATAGGAGTCAAGACTTCATTACATGCTATTAATTTCAAATACTGTGTAATATGTAAATACACCCAGGTGACTTCTGTCTGCACAACCAAGTATTTCACTTCTCCTTGATTTAATTCTCTAAGAAACATCCTGAATGATGATATGAAGTGTAATTACTGGGGGAAATATTTTTATAGTTAAAAACTGAATGTAACTTTTCTGATGTACCTGTTGGAGGACCCCAAAGATATTAAATATAACAAAGCCAGAATTTATTCTGTGTGCTTTTTTTAAAAAGCTGTATTGTATACAGCACATATGTTTCTTTTCTTTAATGCACTGTGTGTCTTTTTCTGTTACAGTTGGTACCAAAAGCCCCAAAGTACAGCTTTGTGACTTGAAGTCTGGATCTTGTTCTCACATTCTGCAGGGTACTACATAGTCTGAAACATATATGTTAGACAATAACTACTTTGAGTAACTACACAGGGTAAAGAACAGCTCTGAACAATATATTCTTTGTAAGTAATAGGACAGATGTGCTCAGTGCCAGCTGTGAAAATAACAAAGTCAGAAAGACTTCTTGCATATATTATTTTGGCCTGTAGGTCTGAAGACTTGGCATTTACTTATGCTGATTTTTCTTGTATTTATGTTATTAAATTGTTCAGTGGCAAGTTTTCTAAGCTAATGGAGAAAACCAGTTATCAGAAATTCACCAGTAGTCTAAGTCTTAGGACTAGGCTATTCTTATTTGAAAGCACTGGATTTAGTAGTACTAATGAAATTGTTTTATTCCTGACAAGAAATAATGAACAGGAGGGACATGAAAGCTTTAAAATGGATACTGTTAGATGTGCCACAAGTAATGATTATTACTTTTAGCATAAAGGTGATGAATATAGCTTCTGTTGTTTGAAACCATCAGTGCTTTTAATTGAAAGAGCAAAGAGTGTAAGCCTACACACCAGCAGCACTGTTAAAGCAGAAAAACAATGAGGGGACTATAAAATTAGGAATGTTTTACCAGACAACATAACAGGACAAATCTCTCAGAATGCAAATACGGGTTATTTGACTAGAGAAACATACAGGGAGAATATGTAATAAAGAGAATATTGCCTACAGGAAGCCCTTTGCAGGCCCTGCGCACTAACAATATTCAACTTATGTGGGGCTGGTTAGAGGTTCACTAACAAGTAATCCCCAACTCACCCACAGAGAGTTAACCACCCTTGTTCAAACAAATAAACCACCCCTGATCGTGACTGCTTATCTGTCAGTAGAAACTGGCAAGAATTCAGGCCTGTTCTACACAAACACACTAGAATTAGAAGCCTGAAATGGTTCATGGTACTCCTTGAGGCAACCAAGCAGGGAGTGCCATTTTGAATACTCTCCCAAGTAAACAAAGCAGACCTCCCTCTGATAACAAAAACCTAGCTTCAAAGTCTGTTCCTGGCTGTGTTTGTATTCCATGTTCAGAGCAGTGTTTGAAAAAACTGCACCTGCAGGCTGTAGTGCCATTGTCCATTCAAAAAGAGCTCTGCCACCTCATCTCCACTCTGCCACCTCATTCTGCTGTACCATGGGACTTTGTTCAGAGGTTCTCTAAAAACATACCTTCTCTAGGGACTGTAGGTCATTTGTAAAACTCTGTGTATGCAAATATCATCCCAGAGCAGAAGTTCATCTAAACTATAGATGTTGAGATACACTTTGATATTCACCAGGAAACTGTTATGAGCTCCTCTCTCTCCCACTACTTTCCTAACAGATTAAAATGAAGTCTTCGATGTAGTCTAACCACAGTATTTTATTATATTAAAGCTGAATAGCCAAGATACAAAGAGAGTAATGTAAGGATTGTTAGCAAGAAGCAGTCATTAACTTAATGGGCCTGCCAATTGCCAATTGAGTTATGTCCTTGCTAAAAGCTAATTCCCAACTGAATCCATCATTTCCTTTCCCCACCAAAAGGAGTTAACTCCACTTTCAGGAGGTTCCTTCTCTCGTGGGTTAGAGACTGGGGACACCAAGCCACACTTAATCCACTACCTATCTGGTATCAGACAGTTGGACTGATCAAGTTAAACTTCCCTCTTTGACCCTCTCTATTCTACAGTCTCCTTCCAAATGGTCGTCTGATTCTCACCAGCCGCTACTTGGTTTATCTCAAAGTTTGCTAGCTTGGTATTTCAGCTAAGCATTCCAACCCCACCTCTTCTTCCAGTTCAGATTCAGGCTCTAAGTACCCACCTTGGAATGCTGTACTTTGGGAAAAGTGAGCTAAGTCACTTTAGAAACTCTGTCTCAGACCAACTATAAGTATCAGCATAGTAGTACTCACTGCAAACCTTATATATGGTAGTGCTCTTAAATTCATATAATTGTGCAGTTGGAAGGGGCCTTGAAGGCCATTGGGTACAACCCTCTGCTCAGTGCAGTACTCAAGTCTCCCACCCAGATTCTAACCAGGCCTGACCCTGCCTAGCTTCCAAGATTAGGCAGGATCAGGCACTTCATGACCACAGACTCTTCTGCCCTATCACAGATGCTTTCCTTCAGCATATGAATTTATTTTGACATAAATTCTGCATGGTTCCTCTAGAAGTTCTGCAAGGAGCTCCTCCATGCTTTGCACAAGTCTTCCAGCCCACTATTGACATTCCTGGGATTGTGTAACTTTCAGCTTTACCAAAGTAATGTTCAGTGCCAGTGCCAATTCACCACTCAGTATCTTACATTCATTATCACATAAAGATACCTAAGCGTAAAGGAACACAAGAAGAACCATGCTGGATGAGACCTAGGGACCATCCAGCCCAGCATTCTGTTCACATAGTTACAAACAGTATCCTTCACGTGGGATAGGAACGTGACAGTCCCCTCCTGCCCAAGTTTCGCAGCAACCAGTGTACATAGGAACACTGCCTCCGATACCAGTATTGCCATGAAGCCTAGTAGCCGTTAATAACCTCCTCCATGCATGTGCCTGTATATTCTTGGTAGATTAACAAGGTATGTGTTAAATTTACATATGGAAAATTACTATATGGCACAGTCCTTATGCATGTAGGCTTATTGCCTGTACATTATTACATGCAGCACACAAGGCAGCTTACACAGTTCTCCATTCCATTTTTATCTTCACAACTCCTCTGCAAAGTAGGCTAGGATGAGAGTCTATGACTGGCCCAAAGTCACCCAGTAACTTAATGGCTAAGTGGACAGCAGAACCCAGATCTCCCAGGTCTTCAGTCCCATATCTAACCATCACACCAGCTCTCTTAAGTCTTATTTCAATAGACCAATTCTAAAAAATATAAGTTATTTAATTATTTAAATATTAATTCTTCAATATGGCTATCCTAAAGTTTACTTGGAGCAGATTATTCAGTATGGTGACTCTCTTTTGTGGAATGTTCTGGTTTTGGAGGTCATGTAAGCACCAATATTGTGTTGCTTTTGGCACCTGCTGAAGCCTCCTTAATTTCAAGAAGCTATCTACCATTAACCAGCTATAGTTTGTATTGACAGGATTTTAAAAATATATAACATGGTGTTTTGTTCTGTTTCTCTTTCACTGTTCAGTGCACCAGAAATTGTTTAGATACGGGGCAGTATTGTAAGTAATGAACTAGGAGATTCCTCACAGGGAAGGGTCATGCCAGAGTTGTCTGCATTTAAGCAAGCACTTGTATACTTCTGAGGATTCTTATTTCTTCATACCTTTAGGTCACAAACAGGAAATACTAGCAGTATCTTGGTCACCACGATATGAATACATTTTAGCAACTGCAAGGTAAAAAGAAAACAACAACATAGTGATGATTAGAATGGAAGCTGTCTGATTGGGGTTTCTGTCGTTCTGCATTTCTTTAGTAGCCTCTTACTCTTAAAAGGAAATATAGGGAACTTCTCCTTGCTTTTGCATTTGGTATGTTTTTCTGTTGGAATGTTAAATAGGGTAAATTTGCTTATTACATAGTTGTACAGGGCAAGAAAGGTAAAATAAATCAATGCTCAGGAAATTGAAAATTTGATAGACTAGCTCAGCCTAGTATATAAGCACTGGGCAATAAACTCCCATCATTTCCACCCTGTATGACATGTGCTGGAAGGGAATTGTGGGAGTTGAAGTCCAACATGCATATAACTGGATGGTTCCACATTGGGAAAGGCTGCTGTATACTGTAATGTCAGTGGTTTAAAGTATTATCATTGAATAAGGGCACAGTCCTCTGCATGTTTGACAGAAAACAGTTCTAGAACACCTAGGACTTTTTCTGTCTAAACATGCAAAGAATTATGCTGTAAATGTCTTTCAAAGCATAAGAATAGAATAAGTACTTTGTTCAAAATCAGCCTTGATTGTGAATATGCATGCTCAGAAAACAGAAAGGTGATAGCTGGACAATGTGCAAATCCTTTGATATCCTGTTAATATATTCCAACTGAGAGAAAAATCGGTTGCTTTCACTACTGAATTAACTTCTACCATTAAACACTATACATTGTTTAGATTTTTCCATTTAGACTGACCTCCATTGAACATGCACTCAGAATAGGTCAATGGGATGTAGAAAAATGAGAGAGAGTAAGAGGACTGCTGTGATTTTTCCCCCTTATACCGCAGATGATGAAATAATCTATTCACATTAGAGAAAAATACAATATCAGGATAGGGACAACCACTTGCACACACATTATCAAAGAAATATTTACCATATTCAAGTTAATAAGAAAAGTATAATCCAAAATGAGGATATTTTGGATTGTTCATATAACAGAGTGAGATTAAGTAGAGATGTATTAAAACCATGTTTTATCCACTGATCTATACAGTTCTTTTTTCCCCTTTTAGTGCTGACAGTAGAGTAAAATTGTGGGATGTGAGGAGAGCATCTGCTTGTGTACTTACTCTTGATCAGTACAGTGGTGAGAAGTCAAAAGCATCTTCTGAAACTGGTAAATCAATATACTCACACAACATATTTGGCATCATTACAGTAGGATTAATACTGTATATTTTCTTATCAAAAGATGATATTACTATAGTTTTGATTTTTACTGCTTCTACTATTACTTTTATCATTCATCCCAGAATAGATAACTTGGTCAGCACTTAAAATTATATGAAGAATTATATACTACCTTTTCAGATGGGTGGGCAGCCATAGCCATCAGCTTAATTTTATGCCGCTCCTCACCGAATTTCGATAGCTGTCTCCAAGTAATCAGGCAGATCTCTAGTAAGAGAAGGAGGAAGCCGTTCTAATATCCTGCATGTGCAATCCTTGGCTGGCCATTATGTGACTAGAATGCTGGACTAGGTGGATCATTGGTTTGATACAGCATGGCTCCTGTTAGGTTCTAGTGATTTGCTTCTCTCTCAGCAGTCCATTGGACAGGCATGGAGAGGGACTGAGAGAGAAAGAAAGGGAATGGCAGGAAGAGGAGGAGGAGCCCCATTCATTGTAGATGCTGGCCCATCCCAGTGCTGGCTTTGATTGTACCTTCCACAGGCCTATCAGATTACTCATGAGGGAAAGTTGCTCTTGGCAGAATACAAGTTCCTCACACATTTTAAAACTGAGCCTCTGTAATTATGAGAACTAAAAACTATGTGATTCTGAGAGCTACTTAAACATTTAATTTCAATGTGATAATTAAGGATGTATTTAACACTTTCCTGCTGAAACTTTTGGAACTTGAAAGGGATTAGCGCTGGCTGGATCACTACTTTTTATATACTCCTGTCCCTAAAGAAAGTTCAAATTATTAGAATCCTGATGTAAATCTATAACCTGTGACAAAACAATGAATCTATGGTGCATGTTTTTTCCAGGATTCAAATTGAACATCCTTATCTAGCTTGCTCACTTTGATTGGGAATGGCGTAGAAGTTTCTACCCTGTCATTCTACATTAAACATAGTAAATACAAATGAACTAGAGCAGTCTTCTTCAACATTTTCAGACTGTGGCCATATTCCCAAAGTGGGCAGTACCTCCACTCTGGGAGAGTGGAAAGATCCAGCAGAACAGTGAGGAAAAAATGGCGGGGGGGGGGGTTAGGAGACTATAGCTTACTAGTACAAAAGAAACGAAGAGAACAAAAAGGCAAACATTTGTAAAATAGGACTGCCAAGGAGCCTGCCCTGGCCCCACAACAGTCCGTATTGAATTTCATTCTGTTGCTTTCAGCCCAGCATTCTAGATTATCTAGATTGTCCTGGATCTTCTTTCTGTCTTCCAAGGTGTTCATTCTGCTTCCTTTTTTGTAAAGCTATTTAAACAGACAAAAAGATAATGGTGCAGTGTCCTCAGTGTGATCCAACTTAGTGCCATGTTTGGGATCCTGAGCCAATCATCAAGGTGGATTATTTTTTTTTAATTGGGTGGTTTAAATAATTATTTAAATCAGAAACGGGGAAAGGTGATTTAGATCACAGGTGTTTCATATTTTTTCCTAAACATGACCAAGTTTTCAGCTGATGGAAATAAAATACCTATGTTTGGAAGACTGCAAATATTTATCTTTGAAAAATGATAACTTTTGTTCTTAATTTACAGAGAAAGGCCTTTTAACTCCAGTTAGTGTGACTGATTCAGTTTAACAGTTAGTGCTAACATGCTTATATCTAAAATTTAATATATACTTTTATTTTATTTGAGATAAACTTAATATTTTCAGTTGTAAAAACATTTAAGCAATCTTATTTAGATGCAAATTATCCAAATTATGATTTTATGTTGTCTACCTTGGCAGCAACTAAAGATGAACATACTGGATCATTTCATGTGTTGCATGATTAATTTGTTCTCCTGAAGAATAATGCTCTGCCTGGCAATATTTATTTATTTATTTAAAACTTTTATATGCCATCACCACATGCCTCGGCATCTTGGGACAGCTCACAAATGTACAATTAAAAACAATAAAACAATACAAGTTCCATAAAATTATATAAAAAAAACCAAAAAGTGAAAAAGCGAAAATATGTGTTTGTTTTCATTATTACAATACTTGGATCATTTTTGAACTTTATGGATTAATCAGTTCATTAAATGGTGGAACACTCAGCCTCAGAAATAAACATTTCTTCGTAATGGAATATACTGTTTTGTAATTTGTTTCAAATGCTGCAGTTTTTCACAATGTAGGGGTGACACTTTTGCTATGTTGTGTTTTATATTTCCGTGGGTCAAATACTATAGAAACCAGAGTTGTCCATATTATCTTTGCAGTAAATACTGCACATAATGGAAGAGTGAATGGCTTGTGTTTTACAAATGATGGGCTTCATCTTCTGACACTTGGCACAGATGACCGGATGAGACTCTGGAACAGTTCCACTGGAGAGAACACACTGGTAAGGTGTTGTTTTATTTGCAGTGAGGAATTTGTGTATGTGTACATTATTTTTGTTTTACCCTGTGACTGATACAGGATAAACTTCTGAACTACTGATAAAATCTTAAATAATTATTACATGGTTATGTTTATGCTATTGGCCATCCTCCATCTAGTTTCTGCTGCATGACTTATTGAAATCAAATCTTTATTGCTTAAAGGCCATCATTCAATAATACAATGAAAAGGGAATATACCATTTCGTATATAATTGAGACTGTTTTTCCTTCCCCTCCCCTTCCAATTTTTCTCTTTTGATATAAGATTTACTAAAAATCATATGCATACTAAAAAGAAGTGCACAAACAGATAAAAATGTAAAATACCTGATAATTTTATTTTAATTTTTTTTATTTACTTGTGTATGTACCACTAATAACTGGATAGAGATGGAATAGCAATGACTACAGCAGTGACTTAACTGGAAGGCATTTTCTGTGACATGTTCTTGATGGTTTTGTTTTTTTGCTGCTCAACTGTCAGACTCAGTTCGCATTTAAAAAGATGGTGGGGAGCCTTTTAACATTTCCTCAAGCCCATAGAGCAGGGGTCCTCAAACTTTTTCTAAAGGGGGCCAGTTGACAGGTGCCAGTGGTGGGCACAGGCCATCAAGGCGGTGCTGGCAGGGGGGCGTGGGCCGGTGAGGGGGCGTGGCATGCACACACGTGAGGCGGGGATGGGGGGCGCAGAGCGAGGCACCAGCTTGCTCACGAGATCATTTTCTCCTATGGAGTCCAAAACAATCTCCCCGCGAGCAAGCTGCCGCCGGGCACCCACGGCAAGGTGCCAACTTGCTCATGAGAAGATAGTTTTCTCCAAGTTAGTCCAAAATGACCTCATGAGCAAGCCGCGCGCCCAGTGAGTGCAAAACCTGTGGGGCGGGCCAGTTAAATGGACATGGTGGGCTGAATCCGGCCCGCGGGCCTTAGTTTGAGGATCCCTGCCATAGAGGGTCAGGACAAAAGGGAAAAGATACTTCCTCATGGAGAACAAAGGGTGAAAACATAAGAAAGAAAAAGATTTTGCTAGAAGAGACTACTATTCATAAAAAGCAGTGCTTTCTCAGCACATAGTTCCTTGTACCTTTGTTTTCAATGGGTGACTCACCTTCTGCAAAATGGTGGGGGAAGGGATTTTCAGCCTTGGTTGGGACAATGTGCAGAAGTGTGTGTATTGCAGAGGGGGAGCAAATTGCAAATTCTCCAGTTCAAGGCTAGATGTTCCCCCTGTTGCACTGAGAGAAGTCAGAATTTTATTTTTATTTTTTTGTGCATGCAAAAAAATTACTAAAACATAGTATGCACACATGGTCAATCCCTCCAAGGTGCCATAGGGAATGCATAGGGATACCTCAACACTATTTTAAGGGGATGCAATTTTAAGACATAAGGAAACCTTGTTCACATTTTGGCAGATTATAGATTCTGATGGTCACTTTATAGTTCCATCTGGGCAATATACTGATAAATTAATTGCTCTGATTAATGAATATGGGCCTAATACTGATTCTCCAGTTATGTCCCAGTATTGTTTTGGCAGATTGCTTAATATTACTTACTGATTGTTGGGGTGGGTTTTAATGAGATCCAGTGTTTGGATAGAAGTATCCAAGTGACGAGGCTTGTACTTCAAGGCTATATGATTGAACTTGGTTTGATTGAGACTTTGCATCTGGTGGGAGAGACTATACTTTTGTATCGTAAGTGCACCAGAATTGCACTGGATTGGATTACAGTTTTGGTTCCCACTCATTGTTACATCAAATGAGTTTCTAAGGTTGATATGCCGATTTATTGATCTAAGATCATGCCCCGAGTTTGCCTGGAATTGTAGTTTTCAGATTTGCCATACGTCTGGGTCTTTGGAATCTTAATGTTGCTCGTTCTAATGAAGAAGTGTTTAAAACTCAGATTTCTGCTCAGCTATTTTGAGTATTTTGAAGATAACAAGGGCTTTGTTGATTCATATGCCACTGAGTTGGGAGACCAGTAAAGTAAAGTTTTTGTATGAGATTGCATTATTGTCTATGCTTCTCATAAAACAAAATTTAAAACATTTAATAAAGTCTTTTATAATGCAGTTCACCATTTCCCCAACTGTACAAATTTATCTGAAACTACAGAAACTTAACTATGAGTTGAAAAACATCTTTTCACAGCAGGTGGAATCTGCTTTAGTGTAATTACAGCTAATATATTGGGTAAATTGTGAATGTCCCAGTGCAATTTTGGTGTATCAGCTTAGACAGCAGAAACATGGTAAAGTTAATTCAGCTATTAAATATGAGACTGTTAGGCTATCTATCTCCCACAGGTACAAATATACAATTTTAAAGTTTCATTCTGATATGTCTAGTATGGGTAGCAAAACATTAGAGCAAGATATGTCTGGGAGTTTTTTCCTCATGTTAAATTATTCCATGCATAAATTCCTCACAAGAACAGGCTCTTATGGCTTCTTTGGATATGGAGCATATTATGAAAGCACTTAATGGTATGAATACTGGATCCAAAGGTTTCTAGCATCTTGGTTCCAGAACTTTATAACTTTGATGCTTAGATTTTTTGAATCAAACTCCCTTTTTGTCTATGCTTATATTGATTTACAAACCTGGCACACTAACTAATTAAGGCTCATACTAACTATTGAACTAGTTTATTATTTAATGTAGATATTTAAATATTCATTACAGTGTTGGGCAATAAATTACAAGTTATTTCAACATTGGTTTGACCAGATTGTAAGATTTATCATACATAGAAAGGAAGCCAATAATCTTAGGTTAGTTGTTGCTTTGATAGAGCAGACTAGGCTGCTATTTTTTCTTTGGATGCTGAAAAAAACCTCTGAAAAAATTCATTAGAAATTATTTTTGCTACATTGAGTAACTTGTTTTTCTGATGAAATGTTATAGTCCGCCCCTGGAGTTAGAGTTATGACTGTCTTTTTTCAACTTTCTTTTTACTCTGGATTGCTACAAGACAGGGATGTCCACACTCTACATTGATATTTGATTTATGTTTGGTATCCCTGGCATGTGATACTAGACAAAGAGAAGTACTCACAATATTCTGCTTGCCTGCTTAGGTTTAAAATTGTTTGTTTTGCTTATTATATTCATATTTCACCTTTTTTTCCTTTTAAGGAACTCAAGGTATCACACATAATTCCTCCTCTCCATCTTTATCCTCACAACAACAGCCCTGTGAGGTAGGTTGGGCTGAGAGTCTGTATCTGGCCTAAAGTCACCCAATGGCTGAGGAAACACTTGAATCCAGATCATGAGTCCTAGATCCTTGGACTTAACCACTATACCATCCTGGCTCTCTAATTTTAAATTACATGCCCAACAGGCTAGGAAACATGAAAGTATACAAATCTACTATTAGATCAGATCCATCTGAGGCTATGAGTGTAAGATAACCTTATTCCTCTTTTGCTGCAAACAAGTGAGATTTCACTCTGGTACTGCTCATTGTTTGCATGGGATGACAGAATGAACCTATTAACCACTGGCTCTTATTTATGGAGATCATCACTTGCTGTTTATTTCCCAACTCCAGGCATCTATTCCAGCTCTGATTCAGTTGATTTCTAATATAGATGAATTTTCTGGGTATTCAGTTAACTGTTCAAGTCTGAATGAATGCTAGTTGAAGGCAGTATATTACATAGTTATTAACTAACTGGCAATTTCAATGCTTAGATTTCATTACTTACTTGGGAATACTTATCCCTCAGGTCATATCTCTAATGATTACATTGAACCTGAACTAATTAACGAATCAGATCTCATGGGATATAGACACAGGCATTGCTAAAGTTGAGTTTGCAAGGAACCCAAACTGGTTTACATCGTCCTTTTCCTCACAATAACCCTGAGAGGCAAGTTAGGCTGACAGTCAGTGACTGACCAAAAGTCACCTGTTGTCTTTGTTTAAACCTTTTGGATTGAGATGAAGGGAAATGGTTCCCTAATCCCCAGCAGCTGTATATGCCAAAGTGTGTGAAGCTCCACTTGAACTGGCCTCCTATAGCCATATTAGTTGTGCTTATTTATCTACATTTCTGGCTGGCATAATTGGCAAGGGTGTCCTGTCATACCCAAAATCAAAGCCAAAAAGAATAATCATTCAAGCAAGTATTAAATATCAAATATACTTAATGTATTTACCCTCTGCCATACTGCCATTGTTCCTTTGAAAATCTGTGTACACAGAATCATCCCATCCCTCTTAAGTGCTGAGTTTCAAAAATATTCAATCAATAGAAAAAGATTGTTGGGAGTGCAATAGAGGATGGAGGGGCAAACAGTAAAAATGCCCCTAAACATTTAATGCACTCTGCCAAAGCTGACTTAGTAACATAGCCAAAATGCTATCTGTAGCTGTAGAAGAAAAAAAAGCTATTTCCTGGAAGTAAAAGATTTCCGATCTGGTAGCATAAATGCAGTGAAAGCTTATTTGATTTTAAGAAGTTGGTTAACTTTCCCCCTCCACTGAACAGTTGACAATATAATATCATAGAATACTAGAGCTGGAAGGGACCATGAGCCCCATTAAGTCCAACCCCCCACTGTTGCACGACACCAAGTTACATAACCCCACTCTGATAGCTGTAAAGGTTCTTTTTGAATGTCTGTAGTGTGGGAAAGCCCACCACCTCTCTAGGCAGCTGGTTCCACTGTTGTATTGCTCTGAAAGTGAGGAAGCTTCTCCTGATGTTCAGGCTGAATCTGGGTTGTCGCAACTTGAATTGATTATTCAATGTCCTACACCAGGGATGGCGAACCATTTAGAGACCAAGTGCCCAAATTGCAACCCAAAACCCACTTCTTTATTGCAAAGTGCCAAAACTACAATAGAACCTGAAAACAAGTTTTAGTTTAGAAAAAACACCTCACAACCAATCCAAGCAAATATATACATATATCTCCTTGGCAGGGCACTGACCGGCCATGCGAAAGATCGGACGAGTCTCAGCTAATGAGTGACGGCTTGTGACGTTCTCGCCTAGCACCACTGCTCCTTTCAGACCATGCGCATGGCCCTTCTGTGTGCTGTTATCGGATGCACGGCTACTGGGGAGCACACTGAAAACAGGACAATTTGAAAAAGCCTACCTTGAGCAGCTTTTTCTGCACAGCTCTTTATTTCTACCCATTCTAAACACATTCCAGCCATCAGAATCATGCCTGGACACCTCATTTTTCTAACCCTAACCCTACCCTGGACCACAGCCTTTATCCTAATATATGGTTAAGTTCCATTGAAAATAATACAATTATGAAAAGCCCTTCTTTGAGCTGCTTTTTCTGCTCTGCTCAAAATTTCTGCCCGTTCTAAACACATTCCAACCACCAAAATCATGCCAGGACAGCACATTTTTCTAACCCTACCCCTACCCTGGAGCACAGCCTTAATGCTAATATATGGGTTACATAGAAACAGAACGAGTCAAAAGGGACCTCTCGGGCCATCTAGTCTGACCTCCGGCACCAGTCGGCTCTGCTCACGACATGCCCACCATGTGCATGTCCAGCCTATCTTTGAACAACCTCACTGATGGGGCCTCAATGACATCTCATGGAAGCCCATTCCACACCCTCGGGGTCCTGTCAGGAAGTGCTTTTTCGCTTCTAAATGGAATCTTAGTTCCCTGAGCTTTGCTCCGTTGGAGCGGGTCCTGCCCTTCTCTGCAGGGGAGAACAGGTCTCTACCCATCTCCATGTGACATCCCCTCACATACCTGTATGTCGCCAACATATCCCCTCTGAGTCTCCTCTTCTCCAGGCTGAAGAAACCCTCATCCTTTCTGCCCATTCGAAACATATTCCAACCATCACAATCATGCAAGAACAGCACGTTTTTCTAACCCTAACCCGACCCTGGTGCACACCCCTTACCCTAATATAGTGGTATAGTTTCATTCAAAATATTGCGATTTTGGAAAAGCCTTCATTGAGCAGCTTTTTCTGCTCAGCTCATCATTTCTGCCCATTGTAAACATTTCAACCATCAAAATCATGCCAGGACACCTCATTTTTTTCAACCCCAACCCTGCCCTGCTTCACATCCTAACAGTCATATTGGGGTAAATTTCCATTGAAAATTGAGCAATTTTGAAAAATTCTTCGCTGAGCAGCTTTTTCTGCACAGCTCATCATTTCTGCCCATTCGAAACACATTCCAGCCATCAAAATCATGCCACGATACCTTGTTTTTCTAACTCTAACCCTGTCTTGGTGCACACCACTAATCCTAATGTTGGTGTAATGTTAAATTGAGAAGAGTGCGGTTTTGAAAAAGCCTTCATTTTGCAGATTTTTTTGCATAGCTCAATATTTCTGCCCATTCTAAATGCATTCCAAGCATCAGAATTATGCCAGTATACCTCATTTTGCTAACCTTAAACCTACCCTGGTACACACCCCTAACCCTAATATAGGGATGAAGTTCCATTCTAAGGAACCCCTTGGGGGTTCTACTAATGTATTACTTGCAATCTAATATGAAAATATATAACTTGTAAAAGTGTATATGTATAAAGGCAGCATGGTCCTACAACAGCAAACATTGTTCTTGTCCTAATCCATTAATTCAGTTTCAATTGCATTTAGGGATAAGGAACATAGTTTTGCAACTTATAGAATTCTTCCCAGGGTCACACCTATTAAGTTGTGCTTTAAAAAAAATTAACACCCATCTGGCAATAGATATTCAAAATGATATTCTCAGCCAGTCTTGGAAAACAACTTGTTATACAGCTTGTACAAGCATGTCACTTGGAACTCTTCTTTCACTTTTTTTACAAGTATTTTCTGCACAACCCTTAAGAATTGGTGAACTGAAAGGAGGAATTTTAATATTGTATCTAAATAAAACTCGTTGCAGGGTCAATATTTGGTATCTCCAGGTACTAATGCTAGGAGAGTCCTCTGCCTTAAAATCTGCTCAGTCATACATTGCCAGTCAGTGTAGACCAGCCTTCTCAACTTGGTGTCCTTCACATGTATTGGACTACAACTCTCATCCATCTTGCTGGCAGGGAAAGATGAGAGTTGCAGTTCAACACACATAAAAACTACAAAGTTAGAGAAGGTTGGTATAAATCAGTACATAGTTAGATGGCTTTGGTATATTTCTGATTCAGTTTCATATGTTTCTTTGACGTTCAAACTCAAATATTTCATGGGGCAGTCGGATTTAGGGCCACAGCTCAGTGTGAAGTTCAGAGAGTCATCCCTTCATCTCCCATTTTTGTCCTCTGTTCACTGTAAACATTGCTATCTCTGGTCAAGCATCATATTTGGTGGATAGGACAGACCTCAGTTGTTAAAATACTTTGGCCTGCAAAATTAAGACCAAATTGAAGTGGTAGAACAGTTTTCATAAATATAGCTC